AGACGGCGCAAACGTAAGAATTGCGAAAAAGGAATAGAATTGAGAGTGTGTTTAGGGTGTGAGGAGGAATAAAGTAAATATGAATGAGAATCTGTGGGCTTATAATGCATAGTGGTATTGAGATGATTAGCAGAAATACTCACAGAAATGTCAAGAAATGTGACAGAAGTTTCACTAATGTCCCAAGTGAATTCAAGAGCTGGGTGAAAAGAATTGACATAGAGAATAAAATAATCTAGGTCTTGTTTTGAACAAGAAGTAGCACCAATACAATCGTCAATGTAGCGACCAAAAAGCTCAGGTTTAATGCCTGGATAGAGATCAAAAATCTGTTGCTCGATGTAGCCAAGAAATAAATTAGCATAGCTAGGTCCCATTTTGGTGCCCATAGCTACACCGTTAATCTGTCGAAAAAGGCGGTCGCCAAAGGAAAAACAATTAAGGGTGAGAACAAGTTCAGCTAAACGCAATAAAGTAGGAGTGCTAGGTTCTAATAGTACTTTACTACATCTCTCTTACTCTTACTTTCTATTGACTCCGACGAAGGACTAACGTCCGAAACGTCAGTTACTATTTTCACTACGGTGTATAACTTATCATTCTACGATAATAGACCCCTTGCATTGATTTCCTAGAGGAATTGTTCTGGGAGACAAAACAATGGATTATTTTTGGTATAAGAAAAGACGGTTTATTGTTTTGTCCCCCAGAACAATAAGCCTTTTCATAGTTAAAGAATCGACTCCACTGCGCATGCGATTTTATCCCGAATTTCTCACCTTCTTTTGTTTAATTAAGAACAAAAGAAGGTTTAGACAAAAGAAGGTGAGAAATTCGGGATAAAATCGTATGCGCAGTGGAGTCGATTCTTAAACTATGAAAAGGCTTATTCCTAGAGGATATCAATGTAAGGGGTCTATATGCGGTTTATATCTTAATGTCTGGTCCTTACTGGTATTTACAGTACTTTACTGGGTTGCAAGCATTCCAGAGAAAATCAAAAGACAGAAACATGGCGGCCAATTTGGTGCCGTTAACAATTGATTCTAATGAGAAATCTTTTGTTAAATGGTACCAGCGCTCCCACGAGAGGTAGCGTGCGTGCAGCCGGACATTTCTCTTTAGTACGGCTGCATGCAGACTAACGAGAGGCCGCGATAACGTATTGTGCAATCGAAGAATTGGTCGATTGTGGGATTGGTATGGGGGTTTTAAAGGGTTTGAAAATAGGTGCGATACCTCGAAGGGAACCTCGTGCAGCACCAGTCTCCGGGCAAATTCTCGAAACTCTCAACAACAACAAAAATCAATAGTCGAGAATCGAGCCTGCGATCCCAGGCACGAACTACACGGCACAGCGAAATATAACCCTTTTCGTTTTCTTTAGTTTGTAGACGTCACAGAAGAATGGACTACATTTGTTAGCAAAAGGGTTGAAGATTTTCACGCCGGCAAGGAGAGTTATGTCAGTGTTTTTGGTCAAGCGACGTACGATGGCTTAAACCATTTCTATACCGCTGTTGATAAATCCTTCAAGTCTAAAGCAGTTGGCGGTTGTAGAATAATAGCCACTAAGAAATAAATGATAGATTTTTTTTGGTATTTTTGCTGATACTCGCTGCAGTTTTTGTTTTTCTGGTGCTGATTACGAAATTTTAGGTTTTTTGTTGCCTTGCCAACGCGATAGGAAATTGCAGTGTATGTCGTCTCCGTGGCAACAGCAGCCAATGCTGTCTCGCGACAAAAATATTGTTCCTCTCACCACAACACCTAACAGTTTGACTTCCAATTCGATCTGTGGGTTAGCCGAACCCTGACTTAGATCAGCCCATAATTTGTTTCAGGGTTAAATCTGTGAGTTAGCTATGCCCTAAATTGAATTTTGCAGAATTTTCAACTGTTTGGACTTTTCTTTGGGGAAAAATTGAAATTTGCATCTTGTGTCAATGTGCATGATTGACGCTGCAGCAGCGTGTAACCTACAGCACAATTTGAAAAATGTTGCGAGACAAGTCGCAGCAATCGTTGCAAAAAGTAGAATTCGTTTCAACTTTTGGCAAAGATTGTATCTCCTTTGCACCATGAAGACCCTCTTGCAACTTGTGTCGCAACGCTGTTGCAAGACAAGCTGCAGAGAAAATGGCTCAGTGTAATCGTGCCTTAAAGATGCCCTGTAGATTACACGCGGCAATGCTTACACGCGGCAATTTTCCATGCAACTTGTTTCAAATTGCAGAGAAAATTGCTCCATGTAATCGCGCCTTTTAGCTAGGAGATTTTACTTGAATTTTTTTGTAGGAATTTCTTTTTCTTGATTAAAAAAAGCAGTTTAATTATGCTGATAAATAGCGGTGCCCTTGGTAATATTAATGCATTTTGTCTGAAATATGCGAGTTGTGCTGCACTCGTTGACAACGATGCAACAAAATTCCGACCAAAGCTGGAAGTGAGATTTGACAAAGAAACAAAAATCCTAGATAGCAATCATATTTCTCTTGGCGAAACATCTATGGCGAAGAAGTAATACAATGTATCACAGTCATCGATAATATGGGTCACAAAGATGATTTTTCCCCTAAATTTTGTCTGCGCGTTCTGGAATTTTTTTTTCTGTTCTGACATTATTTACATATGACTGATCAATCTCGTACCCGAAGCCTACGTTTCCTCTGGCCTGCGGCGAAGAACGACGGCTCTAGCATAATCCATTTTTGAGACCAGGATTTCCTGGACTTCCGGTATAAGAGCGCATGCGTTCAAAGACTTGCCAACCAAAAAAATATGTTCCCGATTTCTAATTATTATTTTGATAAGAAGTATACACAGAACTCTGTTTTAAAGCATTATTTTCATTGATTCTATTTCACTTCGGAAAATTGCGCATGCGCCAAAAAATGGATTATGCCAGATCCGTCGTTTTTCGCCGCAGGCCAGAAAAAAACGCTGGCTCTGGGTACGAGATTGCATACATTTTAAGCTTAGTAGGCAAGATGCAGCGTACAACGAAACTTTTTTTCACCAACTTTTTTTTTAATTGCCGTGGTAGTCAAAATTCTACAAAGTCCAATTATTTTTAAGATTCTGTAGAAAGGAGTAGAACTTGTAAGATAAAAGTGAACCTGTGGACGATATAGACAGTTTTCTGTTCTTTTCACAGGACAGTAGAGCGTATAGACAYATTTCCGTGAAAGAGTCGGCCAACAAAATTATACAAATTAGTGCGAAGTGTTTTGTAGGTCTAGGTCAACCGAACTTACTCTTTGTGCAATTTTCTTACAAAGTTTTTCATAAATATGTATTATATACATTCTATATATAATTGAGACTATTTAAAATTAATTGAATTTAGATTTCAACAATTAATTTTCCAACGATTTGTTTTTGACTTTTTGATTGACGGAAGCCAGAAACTTTAATTGCGTAATTGTGAAAAAATAATGAAATCTTACTATCAATTTAATTTGCGTTCAAGAAAAGATATTCCAAGTAGCTGAAAGCTGCAAAACAGGTGAGCTTTCTAACCTACAAGTGTTTGTGTGCTTTGCGTGTTAATTGTTTACAGTATTTTGATGGGTCTTGGGAAGTGGCTATTCACGTGTTTTGACAGCTTTGTATATGATTGAAACGTGCTATTTTTTTTTTACTAAATAACAGTTTAAAAAGATAAATTTAAAAAAGCACCGTTTGTTATTTGAAAGCTGAAATATCTTCTTTCTTTTTTTACTTCCTTTCTGTTTTCTTTCCTTCATCCCTTCTTCTTTCGTTGCATTTTCTGTCTTTCTTTATCTGGCTTTGTTACTTTCGTTATTTCACTTTCGTGCGTTCTTTTCTACTTTCTTTCTCTCATCAATCTTTGATTTCAGTTTTCTCTGCTTTTTGTTTCTTTATTTGTTTTTAGTTATAAGTTTTAGCTTTTTATTCTTTTAAGCTGTTTCCAAATTTCTCTTGCATTCTCTTCCTTTTACTGGTTGTATTTACTGTATTAAAATTGCCAAAACTCTATCGAATCTAGCTACTACCTATATAGCTTTATTCACACAAGCTAGCTTCAATTTTCTAGTACCTAGTTTCTGTTTTATAGTTAATCTTGGTTTGCTAATATCCTTCCCTTGCTTCCTTAGCTAGTCTCAAGTACCGAAAACTGCTGTACAAATGTGGCTTAATCTCAGAGTGTTTTCGTCAAGAATAAGCGACTAAACACTCAAAATACATCCTGTCATTTCCCACGAGCCGTAACACTATAAAATGGCAAGTCGTGCTTAATAAGCATTGCTTTTTAACTTGGATGTGGACGGCAACGCTTGGTAGGTGAGTACAATAAGCCCGTTTTGCAACAACAGATCTGATTTGACCCTACCTCTCGTAAAAAGAGACGTTGGGTCAAAATGAACATCGGAAATCGAAACAATGTTCACTATAGGAAAAATGGCATTGAAAAAAAATCGAATATCTATAAGGATTTGTATAAGAAAATGTGATGGATGGCAACCTTTGCACATTTTCCCATACCAATCCTTATACTCGATTTTGTATTCAATGCCATTTCTCCTGTGTTACATGTTATAAGCTGAAACTTTGCCTTCTTACTAATATTGAGGTGCTTTTTCCATTTCTGGTGTTCATTTTCACACAACGGGTCTTTTTAGGCTCGTGGGGGGGAAGGGGGAATAGGATCACGTGACCTATTGTTGCAAAAGGCATATTTCTTGAACACTTTGAAAAATTTCAAGGTGAAAGACACGAGGAGTCTCTTGCCAACCATGATGTAGGGCTGGAACCAGCAATGCAATATCTATTTTGTATACAAGAGATTTCATTCCACAAAGAAGGAATCTTCTACCGTTTTAACTACAATATGGCTGCAGTGAAAACCCAAATGATTCTTGCAGCTATAACGAAAAAAGAAACCTCGTGAATGCAATGCTGTAACTTAACGTGAATTGTTATTCTATTGCATTTAAACATTTGTTTCATTTGTGTCAGTTTCTATACATTACGGTGTTGACCCAAACGCCTCGACTTGAAACAGTTGCTTGTGATACATTTTCGCAAAATGACAATAAAGATGCTTAAATGACGACCCCAAGATCTTTGAAAAAATTTCCTCAATAGCGGAATTTCCCTTTTTTATATTCATTTCTTTTGAAATTGCCTTGTAAACTGTTAATGTCAATCGACGCCATTACTCTAACAAGGCTTTGTATATTTGCCTTGAGACTCGAGACGACCGCCGCATCGTCGAAGAATCCATTTCCTTAAACTTGAATTTCATCATTCTTTTTTTAAGTACACTCACTTCTCAACTAGTGTCCCTGGTTCGATTCCTGGAATCAAAAACTCAAAAACTAACACGCTAAATTCAAACTCAATCTGTACTATACCAAGCCCTGACTAATCCAGGAGATCGAACCAGAGGCCCCAGAGCCGTGAGAGGCGAGTGCCCTACCGCGTGTTAAGCCGACCGCCCTTGATTCCATCAACTAACAGTCAAATATTTTTTTTCTACAGAGAACGCGTCAGCATAATGTTCACAGGGATCCTTGTGTATTTGTCAATTCTATTCGCTTCTTGCTCAGCAGGTTAGTAGGCTCCTTCGTTACTTCTAAGTTCCTGGAGGCCCTTCGACAACGTTCCGTTTAACTGCATCTTAATTAAACTATCATGTTCGATGGTTCTTTCTCTCTTTTGCTATGGGGTTTCTCTAGTTTCCATGGGTGCTTACCATTTAAACCCATCCATCTGGTTGGGAATTCACTCGCAAATGGTAAGAAAAGAGCGGGAAAATTTGACTTTCGAAAAATGGCACACGCGTCTACCGAAAGAACCAGAAAGAGCGGGAAAAATGGATTACCTTAATCGGAAGACCGGGGTTTCGGGAACTTTTCAATTGGAATGATGAAATACAAAACAGAATTTCTGGTTTTTCTGGGTACCGCATATTCTCTTCGTCCGATTTTTTTTTTTTTTTTTTCTCTCCGAAAAAAGTCCATTATTTTTATTTCAGATAGAGGCATTTGCTATCCAAAGTATGGCTGCTTCCACAACGATGCTCCATTCAAACGTCCTCTAGTTCCATTCCCAAACCCAGCAGATTTGATAGGAACAAAGTACCGCCTCTACACTCGTGCCAGTCCTCTAAAATCCTCCATCATTGATGACACCGACGACGCCAAGCTTCTTAAGTCGGGCTACGATGGACAAAAGAGAACTATTCTTATTGTTCACGGATTCGTAGGTACGTATTTCACTGAAATAAGGGAAAGTTCATTTAATTTTTGTGGAACATGAATTGGGGGGGAGGGTACGGGGGGTCTAGAAATTTGCCATGCATACAAGGGTGGCTCTCAATTTGAAAATGTTTCACTGAAGCATTTTGGGGGGTGGGGGGGGGGAGGCGGGTAAAAAAAATTTAATCCCCCCCCCCCTCCCCCGCCTATTAAATGCATGAGCTTTCCCTAAGGAGTGTATTGAGCGTTATTTGGTATTGCACTCCGCTCTCACCTCTGGGGCTCAAGCTCGATTTCTGGACTCGGCATTACGTGTCTAAAGTTTGTTAGGTCTCGCCTCTGATTCGAGGGTTTTTCGTCAGTTATTCCTTCCAACAAACTAGATATATTTTAATTCGATCTGTGAGTTAACTGCTGAAGGTGAAGGGAAGGTGAGTTAGTCCATGCCATGAACTAGATTAAAAAGGGGGAATTCTTATAAGAATTGCCCGGCAATAGTTTGTGTCATATATGTGGATCCATGTATACAAGATACAAATCTTGTTGCTTTAGAATTTATGTTTCGCTATACTAGACATGGCACGTATTTCTATATGGTTTTCAATCATTACCAAGGGAGTTAAATAACAAAAGGCACAGCGGCCATGTTGGATGATATAACAAAAGCATTTATTGACAATAGTCTCCTTYACAGTTCCTTGCGCCATCTYGAAAGGTAGCCGTGCCTTTGCATCGAAGTGAGAYRAACGRTGAGCTTGCAATGTTAGAGACCTTTTTTTAACACCTTAGACAATTATTCGCATGTCTCTATCATTGCAAGCTCACTGTTCGTCTCGCTTCGATGCAATGGCACCGCTACCTTTCAAGATGGCGCAGGGAACTGTGAAGGGGACTATTCGAATTCCTTGTTAAATTCATCCAAGATGGCGGCTATGACGTCATTTTCAAACAACGAATACTCTTGTTTTCTTCATAGAACATGGACAAATTCCTTGGATGAACCGCATCAGACAAGCACTGCTCCAAAAAGAAGATGCCAACGTGATACAAGTAGATTGGTACAAGGGAGCAAAGATACCTTACGAAACCGCAACGGCCAACACTAGGATGGTAGGAGCACAGGTGAGTTATCACACCTRAGAACTCTTATTTTTCGAGCCAGAAAAATGGCAAGATTTCGCGCATGTCATTGGAAGGCTCTGTAAATACTTTCTCGAGGATGAAATTATCTACAGTATCATTTTTTAGTTGTAAATCCACCTCTGCACACTTATAGTCTCATCATCGACACGTCATCATCCTCATCATCATCATTATCATCGTCACCATCATCACCGTCATTACCATTATCATCATTATCTTCATCATCATTACCAGGATTATCATCATTATCAACGTCATCATCAGCAGCATTATCATCGTCATGGTCGTGGTCATGGTCATGGTCATGGTCATGGTCATCCTAATCGTCATCGTCATCGTCATCGTGAACGTCATCGTCGTCATCATCTTTACCATTATCATCATCACCATCATCATTATCACCATAACTATCATCATCATCATTTCTCGAAACGCATTGATTCGAAAAAGGTCTCCAATATCTAATACAAATTTTTATTCGCAAACGAGATATCCGACTCTTGTTAAAATTTACCAGCTTAAACTGTTATAAATTGACGGTTTTGTTTCGCCTTATTTTAGATATTCGAGTTGATCAATTTTCTAAACAACCGCACCGACAACACCCCTTCATCCTTCTACATCGTTGGTTTCAGTTTGGGGGCTCATATCGCAGGATATGTGGGCAGAAGAATCAAAGACTCTGGTTCTATAAAACTTGGCAGGATTACAGGTAAGCAGTTGCATTAAGTATTTCGAGTTCGTTATAGCCGTGAATCCCTTAGTGTAATAGACCTCTAAAACCCAAAACAAAATTCGAGCACAGAGTGAAAAAAGAGTGAAAAAAGTCGTACATAAGAAAAATGCTAGAAAAAGATTCCAAATTATGTCCAAAAAAATTCCTGCACAGCCATGAGGCGCCTGCACAAAATAAACTGCTCAACCCCCCCCCCCCCCCCCCCCCCCCTCCTCAAAAATCTAATGGTCCGTCCCTGATTTATTGGTTGCGCATGTAAAGAGTCTTCATGGGTCAGTGTTCCGCGTTTGGAATGCCATTTCGGTTGTGCGCACTGCGCGACCCATCTTAAGTAGCAATAACATTCCACGCTTTTTGGATAATTTAAGACGTTTAATTTTTAAGAGATAACCTAAAAATACCAAGATATGACGAAGTTTTAAWTTTCAATTTTGACACCCTAAAATATCCCTAATTGCTATACAATTTTTAACCAGAAGTCCCCTCCCCCTCCCCCTCCTCCATCCCTCCCTCCCCCCAGGGCTTAGAATGCGTGTAGCTTTTATCATTTTCAACTTCGACTTCTACATCTCTTCCCAGGCCTRGATCCTGCTAGTGTGTTTTTCGTGGAAGAGCATCGTGATGTGAGACTGGACCCTACTGACGCTGACTTTGTGGATGTCATGCACACTGACATAGACTTTCTTGGATCATACACACAGAGCGGCCATGTTGATTTCTATCCAAATGGTGGGCTGGATCAAAGAGGATGTCCTACTGGATTGAAAAATGGTAAGAGTAAATTATATCCCAAAAGTAATAGTCTCCTTCAAAGTTCCCAGCGCCATCTTGAAGGTAGCGGTGCCTTTGGATCGAAGAGAGACAACGGCGACCTTTATYTATTTTTATTTTATTTATTTATTTGAAGATTTGCCAGAGGCAGGTAATTTACAAAAGAACACTAATTCCCCTACGTGGTATCAGCTTGCAATGATCAGCTTGCAATAAGACCTTTTTTAACACCATGAACAATAATTCACATCTCTCTATCATTGCACGCTCACCGTTCGTCTCGCTTCGATTCAACAGCACGGCTACCTTGCTAGATGGTACAGGAAACTGTGAAGGGGAATATTAGGTAGGAAGAGACAGTCACATAAGCTTCTTCCAATAGGCCATATTTAATTTTGAATCGTGGAAAATTTCTTTATCCATCGGATAGCACTGTTTATGAAATGTTTGAAATCCTTTGACATTTTGAATCTATGGAAATGTAAGTATTTGAACAGACCAAAATAACGGTGCAAATTTTTTTTTTGATAGTTCCTTGCTCCATTTTCTGCTGTACTTTGTGAGCTTTGATRCACATTGCCTGTAACATGGTCCCTTTAGAAACGACCAAGAGACTGGAGCGTTTTTTGCATTTTTAATCTTGAGATACTTTCACAAATTAGAAGCTAAAATTTACAGTGCGATTCGAAAAACCGTGGGCACCTAGAAATATTMTAGGAATGTTCCATTCTTCTTTGGCCAATTAGAATTGACTTTYTAGCCACAAGATAACAATAACGCTTCTGATTGGATGTTGAACATTTTTGAAATATTTCTAACGTGCCCACGGTTTTTCGATTCACACTGTAAAACTCGCAGTTTCTTGCTCGTCTCTAAAGTGGCCTACTTTTAATTGATTTTGTCATATAATTGACGTCACACTTAAAAGCTTTATATTTTATATTGTATCTATCAGGTCCTATTGATTACATCATTTGTGATCACATGCGAGCCCCCGARTACTACCACCAATCAGTGCTTGCGGTCGGTAGCAGGTGCCCCATGCGGGCTTTCCCCTGCAAGAGCATGTATGACTTTGAACGTGGTTACTGCTTCAAGTGTCAGAGTGAGGAGTGCCCCACCATGGGATACGGAGCCGAGGCAGCCCGGGGAAAAGCATTAGGGAAACATTATCTCTACACCAATGAGAAATCTCCATTTTGTTGTAAGTAAAAAGATATATCCAGTTGAACCCTAAATAATGAATTCTTAAAACGTTTTAAGGCCTTCAAAACTCGAAAATCCAAAACAGAAAAAAGTACGAAGTTCTCATTTTTCTTGCTGCAGCTCTGCACTATCAAGTGGCCTTCAAGACAGGCCATGGTTGGTTTGCTGGCATCTCRGCCGCAATCCACATTAACATATATGGTTCGAATGGCAACAGTGGCATCATCCGACTCAAAACGTAGGTCTTTATATATGTATATATATATTTATATAATGATTAAATTAGCTTACTCCCAATACGTTTGAAAAGGGATAACTTTGAGCCTAAGGCAAAATATTGTTATCATTTGTAAAGAAAGGGCTGAAAAAAAACGAGCCAACGGTTGTGGGTAAAAATCGCGGGATTACTTGTTTGGTGTAAATTAAAAAGGACTCTTCAATTGTACATATTTTCAAACTTTTATGGCCCAAGGGCAATCAAACATGTCGACTATGAAAGAAAAAGATAATACAGCTTTTCAAGCCCCTTTTCTATAAAGATTTTTCTTGCTTTTTCTTCGTGACAAGATTTTTGTCCAAAGTCCTCATTCTTTCAGTTAAACCAAATGAGAATTTTTTTTACTCTACAGCTTTTTAATCGTGACGCCTTTTCTATAAAGATTTTTCTTGCTTTTTCTTCGTGACAAGATTTTTGTCCAAAGTCCTCATTCTTTCAGTTAAACCAAATGAGAAAATGTTTTACTTTATTTCAGCGGTTTTTGTGAGCATTTGGAGGAAGGAAATACGTCACAACTAAAAAGCTATTCATTAACAATAATTCTTTGAGTGTTGTCCTCCCGAACAACAGGCCGAAGCGCGCTCTTACCAATCGATCTAACCGKGTGGTGGTAATGTTGATTTTATGTTATTCCAATGTAGGCGCGATATTAACGATGGTACAGTAGAAGCATTCATTGCCCCGGTTAGTCAGGACCTTGGTGTTCTAACCAAAGTCGATGTTAGACATAACGGAATTCCGATCATTCAGAAGTGGTACCTGGAAAAAGTTGTTATCAAGTTCGAAGGATCGAACATTGCGTAAGTCTTATTGTCGGTGAACAAATTCTTTATAATTTTAGTTTTGRATTTTGTAATTGAGCAATTTTACTTACATATAACACAACTGGTTTAATTGTTTCGTCAAAATTTTTTCTCAATTCGCATATTATTTTCAACGGAAGGAGGAAACCCGAAGAATGAAGGAAGGAAGGAAGGAAGG